TCAGTTTAAGTAATGCAAATCTCACATCATATTTTCTTAATATTTAGTATTCATCCCAACAACAATATTCTTGCAAGTTGTGTTTAACCCCTTACATGGCATATACACATTTCTAAGCCTGTAGCGTGAAAAATATGTATAGTGTAAACAAATATTCATAATGTTAATAATGCAGATATCAAGGTTTTCAAGTACATTCAGATTGATCTGTTCCCAAAACTTTAACCAAGTCTCTTGTATGGAAAATATAAATCAGATCCAGCATCCGAAGCAAGTCTGATAGTGTCCATCCTTAGATGCATCATCCATGCAAGTTTGGTCCAAATAGGGCTTATAGTTACTTGGGAATGAAAATGTAGGTCAGATCCAGCATCTGAAGCAAGTCTGGTAGTGTCCATCCCTAGATACATCATCCATGCAAGTTTGGTCCAAATAGGGCTTATAGTTACTTGGGAATGAAAATGTAGGTCAGATCCAGCATCCTAAGCAAGTCTGGTAGTGTCCATCCCTAGATACATCATCCATGCAAGTTTGGTCCAAATAGGGCTTATAGTTACTTGGGAATGAAAAAGTAGGTCAGATCCAGCATCCGAAGCTAGTCTGGTACTGTCCATCCCTAGATGCATCATCCATGCAAGTTTGGTTCAAATAGGGCTTATAGATACTTGGGAATGAAAATATAGGTCAGATCCAGCATCCGAAGCTAGTCTGGTACTGTCCATCCTAAGATGCATCATCCATGCAAGTTTGATTTAGCTAGGGCTTACAGTTACTTGGGAATGAAAATGTAGGTCAGATCCAGCATCCGAAGCAAGTCTGGTAGTGTCCATCCCTAGATACATCATCCATGCAAGTTTGGTTCAGATAGGGCTTATAGTTACTTGGGAAGGAAAATATAGGTCAGATCCAGCATCCGAAGCAAGTCTGGTAGTGTCCATCCCTAGATACATCATCCATGCAAGTATGGTCCAAATAGGGCTCGTAGTTACTTGGGAATGAAAATGTAGGTCAGATCCAGCATCTGAAGCAAGTCTGGTAGTGTCCATCCCTAGATGCATCATCCATGCAAGTTTGGTTCTGGTAGGGCTTATAGTTACTTGGAAATGAAAATGTAGGTCAGATCCAGCATCCAAAGCAAGTCTGGTAGTGTCCATCCCTAGATGCATCATCCATGCAAGTATGGTCAAAATAGAGCTCATAGTTACTTGGGATTGAAAATGTAGGTCAGATCCAGCATCTGAAGCTAGTCTGGTAGTGTACATCCCTAGATACATCATCCATGCAAGTTTGGTTCAGGTAGGGCTTATAGTTACTTGGGAATGAAAATGTAGGTCAGATCCAGCATCCGAAGCAAGTCTGATAGTGTCCATCCCTAGATGCATCATCCATGCAAGTTTGGTCCAAACAGGGCTTATAGTTCCTGTGGAATGGACCTGCTCCAAAAACTTTAACCTGGTCACTCATCTAGACAATGTAGGTCAGATCCAGCATCCGAAGCAAGTCTGGTAGTGTACATCCCTATATGCATCATCCTTGCAAGTTTGGTTCAGGTAGGGCTTATAGTTCCTTGGGAATAGACCTGCTCCAAAAACTTTAACCTGGTCACTCATCTGGAAAATGTAGGTCAGATCCAGCATCCGAAGCAAGTTTGGTAGTGTACATTCCTAGATGCATCATCCATGCAAGTTTGGTCCGGGTAGGGCTTATAATTCCTTGGGAATGGACCTGCTCCTAAAACTTTAACCTGCTCCAAAAACTTTAACCTGGTCACTCATCTAGAAAATGTAGGTCAGATCCAGCATCCGAAGCAAGTCTGGTAGTGTACATCCCTAGATGCATCATCCATGCAAGTTTGGTTCAGGTAGGGCTTATAGTTACTTGGGAATGGACTTGCTCCTAAAACTTTAACCTGGGACACTGATGCTAACGCCGACGCCGACGCCGGGGGTATAGCATAAGCTCATCTCGACTTCGTCGAGGTGAGCTAAAAAGTGACTGATACATTTAACTGGGGTGATGGATCAATATTTATATCAGCATATTATAACGATCTCTTATGATATCCAGCATCACAACAACAACAACAATATATATATATATATATATATATATATATATATATATATATATATATATATATATATATATATATTACGGAAGCCCATTAGTGCCAACCTCTATGTATAAAGGAAAAGCGATATATAAAAGCAAACCTCGATATATAAAGGAAATGCAATATATATAAACAAAACCTGGATATATATAAAGGAAATGCGATAGATATAAACGAAACCCGGATATATATAAAGGAAATGCGATATATATAAACAAAACCTCGATATATATAAATAGAAATGCGATATATATAAAGAGAAAATTTTCCACTGCGTGAACTGTAGCGCTCGGCTGTCCATCAAGATTATATACAGATTAACCCCGGGCAGGGGGAAATCAGTTATACAATACACATGCATAACTTTCCAAGAATCGGCAAATTGTTTCTATTTAATAGTGTTTATTTGTTTATACATGCTATATCAATGAACTGTAATTGTAACATTACTTAAAATAATGCACTTAAATTAATAAGAAGAGCAATTGAATTGATTAATTAAATGCATTCATGAAATAAGTATATGTGTTACATTAGAAAATTAAATCTAAAGTTTAAACTTATCTTGATAATTTTTATAAATAAGTTTAAACTTTAGATTTAAACTTTTAATGTAACAAATGCATCGTATTTTCTGTGTTTTTTTTTGATTTACATATATTTTAATCCAATTCGTTAATTTTGACAACCCAACCTTTTTTTTTTTTTTTTTTTTTTTTTTTTATTTATTTATTTATTCATTTATTTTGTTTATACCAAACTTACTACCTTAAATTTGGTTTCACAACCGAGAATAAATGAAAATAATGTTAAACGTGGAGTCTTAACAATTCTTTTAATGCCCTAATTCAAATTTATTTAAACTCATTATAAAAATAATTTATAGTATGCCAATATAAAAAAAAGAATCGGAATGGGAGAGATGGAGGTATGCACTTCATTTTAATATGAGGGAAGAAAGCGACATGTATATGTAACTATTACCGTGATAATTTTAGGGTCTTTTGCTGTGAAAAAAATCAAAGTATTTGTGAATAAATAAAAAAAAAACGAGTTAGTGCAAGCACACTTACATAATTAAACTGCGGAGTTTTGTCCCACGTCGTAAATTAATTCGATTTGAAATTCTCCATAAATTATGTAAAAAACATAGTAAAACGTTAAAGAACTTGTAAAACATGATAAAACACTTGTATTTTGCACTGGATTATATTTCGATTGAAAAATACCCACTACCTTAAGTGCTAGTAATATACATTATAAGCAGAAAAGTCTCGTATTGGTGTCATTCTGCCCAACACGTCTGAAATGTAAGAAGAGCAGCAGGTTTTTTTTAGCTTTAGTTTTAATCGTCATAATTATCAAGACACACAAATGAAGGAAACACGCTGATGAATACCATCCTGAAACAGCCACATCAACTGATTGCAATCAAAACATTGGACCGGGAGCTGCTTATCATATGTTAGCGAAGTCTGTTGTAATGAAGGTCATAAAACATTTTAAAGGTCAGGCGATGGAAATTTTTCTCTTTATACATATCGAAGTTTTGTTTATATATATCGCATTTCCTTTATATATATCGAAGTTTTGTTTATATATATCGCATTTCTCTTTATATATATCGAAGTTTTGTTTTTATATATCGCATTTCCTTTATATAGATCGAGGTTTTCTTTATATATATCGCATATCCTTTATATATAGAGGTTTGCTTTTATATATCGCTTTTCCTTTATATATACAGGTTGGCACTAATGGGCTTCCGTAATATATATATATATATATATATATATATATATATATATATACATATATCACATGGCTTCGAGGGTGACATACCAGAATATTTGCCCCGAGGTGACAGGAAAGCCCTGGAGTGGTATGTCACCCGATGCCGAAGGCAGAGGGTGACATAACACTCCAGGGCTTTCCTGTCACCGAGGGGCAAATATTCTGGTATAGTCGCCCGAGAAGCCATGTGGTATATGTTATATGACATTTTTAAAATTAAAAAAAAATTTAAAATCATTCAAAATCGTTAAAATGTACACAAATAATCCAAAAATGCATTCTTGACGTTAAGAAATACGCTGTGTTGTTTACTTTTGCTTAGCAACCGACGTCATAAAATCTCGAACTAAAATACGTAACGTAAAAACACGTGAACGTGATCGAAATAGTGACATAACTGTTTCCGGCGAGGGTTGACATAACTGTTTCCGGCCGGACATAACTGTTTCCGGTGTGACTCGGCATTTTTCAGGGTTTATAGCGAAACTTATTACATTTGTGATGTAATAAGAAAACTTATTCAAAAATGTTATATATACATATATATATATATATATATATATATATATATATATATATATATATATATATATATATAATCCAAATTCAAATGATAAACTCAAACTTTTATTTTATTTTTTAAAAGTTTGAGTTTATCATTTGAATTTGGATTTTATTTTATCCCTATACCAAGGAAAAATAATTTTTTGAATATATATATATATATATATATATATATATATATATATATATATATATATATATATATATATATATATATATATATATATATATCAGCGTATGAACAAATAATTTTTACTGAGATCTTGTCCTCCCAATGTCAAACTCTAATAAAGAGTGTTTTCTTTTCTTTATATTTATACAAATTTAGACATTCATTCAACGCATATGGATTTTACCACCGTTTATCCTAATATATGCAAATTAGCTGGCGTCAGCAAAACAAATACGACTGCAATAAAATGGAGAGTCCCATATCTTAAGCATACTTCATCGGTAAATAACTTGATAACCAAGCGAGAATCCAGTGAACTTCGATTCATATGTGCTGTATTTAAAATTTATTTCAAGCGAACTTCGCTTCAAATGTGCTGTATTTAAAATTTATTTCAAATGTACAACAACAAATTATTTGTATCTGTTCAAAGTATCTGTTATCAGTACTAGTACTTCTAATGTGCAGTTGATACAGTTGAGGAATTCATGGCTTTGTCGCCGAGTATGAGAGTGTTCGAATCTACAAGTAAACAGAATTCTGCAACATTATTACTTTGGCTGTGCTACACCCTTTTTCAGTAGAGGTCCACCTTCGTGTAGGAGAATTGCTGGCCAGACCACGTGGTCCATCTTCTTCCCACTGCTAGTGAACTCACGATACAAGTCTTTATCAAATTTATTGTCTTTTTTATCTAAAGTTTTCAGAAAAACCGGTGGATCTTGAGCGACCATTAACCAACAGATCCGCACGCATTTCTTCAAGTAAGGTTTTGTAATCTCCAGATGAACATCATCCTGTGCTTGAATTTCAGACCGTTTTTCCCACACATGCTTCAATGAAACACAATTTTGCTAAATATAACATCCATTTTCTGAAAATAAAATTACATCTGGTCAACACTCAGTAATGTAATTTTTTAAAATATCAAATAATACCTGTTCTACAAAATGGCATGTTCCATCTACTGTGATTTTCAGCAAATTCTTCATATTTTTCATGTCAGTTTCACTCACACCGATTTTTTCAAGAACCTGAATATGTTAATTCAAAATGTTAAATTAAAAGCTTTAAGACACAAATTGGATAATTTTTGTCCATTAAACAGAAAAATACACGTTCTTTGCTCAATATTTTGTATATTATAATAAGAGTAAAAAATTGAGCATCTATAAAAGAATTAACCGATTTTAGAGTTTTATTATCCACAGCTTGTTTTGGGTTATCAAAGAACTTCTGCATCACAATAATTTCATCTGAGGAAAGTATTTGTGCGATCTCCTGTTTTTTCCCTTTCGTCGTTTCTTCTTTTGGTCCACCCTTTTCTTCAAAATTAAAAAATCAATAAAAAAGACTTGAAATGAAATGATCATTCATGAATAAAATACACCGGTGATCACTTACGTTTGGTTTATTTTCATCAGGTACAGCCAGTCTTAAAAGTGTTAATTCTGCAAGCAACGTTTCTGTAGATCTACCTGGTACTTGCTATTTCTGCACAAAATCGGTATGAAATCTGAAATAAAGAGTTTGTGGAATATGTTCTTTAAAAGTGTAACGATTTATAAATCTTACCTGTGCTTAAGACAAGCAAAACGTGTTCTTAAATCATTATGTGCAATTTTTAAAATGCTTGACACTTCCATAAAATCTCTTTGCTTGACACTTCCATAAAATCTCTTTTAGAATCTCATTTAAAATATCTTCTAGAATATTAAGATTTTTCTGTAAAGCAAATTTTTTGAAGAAGAGCTTTTCTTATTTAAAAAAAATCTAAGATATCCTATAAAGAGTTGCAATGAAAAAATGAAAAGCGATCGCCTTGCGCTCTTTAATCATTCAGTAACCGCGCAGATGGTTCTTTGACAAGTATATAATTATGGCTTTTTAACATTTCTAATATATACCAAAAGAAAAATTCCTACATTTAGGTACTTTTGCAATGAAATCAAGAGTGTAACGTGGGAGGTGATGCTTGAACTGTGTTCTAGGATTTGGCAATTATGTAAACATAGAAACATTGTTCTTTTAATTACTAGTGGTAGTTGACTTTAATTTTAGCCAACACTTAATAAAAAAAAAATTACATTTATAATAACAATGTATATCAAATACATATGAAAATGGAAGACGTTTAACAAATTCATCCACCTATTCCTACCAGACAAGCAATTGACAAATAAGTCAATGACACAAGGCTATCGTAAGACTTGTGTAATGTCAAGATTTTAAGGTGGATGCAATGGCCTTGTTAGCAAATGCAATTTCTCATTAAATCGTATACTGATTGGCAAATTCAAGCAAATTGTTAGGCTATTATGTTTAGAATGAATTGTGTACGGATTAATTGCTAGATCATGTGTAGAAGCAAACATTGTTTATGACTGGTTTTGAACATATTTATTGTATAATTTATACAACGGGATTAGTTACAAGTTCTTGCAACTTAGAAAAACCTCTCCCTGGTCGACAGGGGATGAATATTAGTCCATGGCATACGATCCCACTTCTAGTGTTTTTAGAGATACATATTCTAATCAAAATTGTCGAATGGTTGTTTGAGTTTGGTTAATATTTGCTAGCTTTATCAATCATTGCAAATCCATTTCTCAACATTTTTTATCTGCGGAGAAACACATTGGTGTAAGTATCGCGACACTTTTCATGATTTTTCCAACAAGTAAAACTACAGTACAAATATACTAGTCAAAATTTCTAAGTCCCCAGGCAAGTTTTTGCTTTACACCGCATTCATCTTGAATTATTTTAACAGCATAACTTAATAAGTATACAGGATAATAAAGTAGCAAAATAATTTTTCCTCACTTGATTTATTTTATTGAAGCACTTTAACACAATATGCAGAAACGTTAAGGCACCCTAGAATTAAAAATTCACAACGTTTAATACTGCATTATTCTCCATTCAAACGAACTCAAATCAAGACAACCGTTCCTCAAAGAGTTCACACTATTTAAGAAAAACTATTTCATTGAATGTTTTTCCATGTGGATACTAGGTCGTCCTCTAGTTCTGCTAGATACTGCTGCTGGAAAAGCTGTTTCACACTACGGTCTATCTGCTTCCATACATGCTATTTAGGGTTGAGATTAGGAAGACAAGGGGGCTTATCGAAATTGTCTGTGCCTTGTCTACAATAGTTACTTAACGTCTTCTTACATGTATTCCCCACTTCTCCAGTTTGACATTGAGGGGAGGGCACTTCCGGTTCCGGTTCCATTGATTTTTCCGGATAAACTCTAGGATGATTTTGTGGTGTTTGTTGAAAATCTAGCAATTTTAAACGATTAAAAGGAATTCAGGTGCGCTTTGTAGGTTTTCCGGGCGGTAATTATAAAGTTTTTAAGTAAAATAAAGTCATACAGTGAAGAAAAACAGAACTTTCGTTTACTACGGCCAGCTTAGGCCATTTCAACTTCACTTGCACATTGGACATACACTTGGACATACACCGCATTTTATTCAAACTTTTTTCTGTTTTTCGTAATCAATAAAAGATTGAGAACACATGGAAGTAAAAAATATTAAGAATACACCCGAAAAACATATGGAATTTGAACTTCATCCTTTTCAACAAAAACGGTCACGGTCGAGCAATTACACATTCGATTACAATTTTTTGGCCTTGACAGGTAAGTACTGCAAATTAAAGGCATGTTTGTAAGCACTTAGTAAATTGAAGTTAAGGTTTTTAAAATTTTGAAAAAATAAAAGTGGGGACTTAGAAATTTTGACAAGTATATGAAGGTAGAATGAACGTTTATATAAAATACCTCTAAAATATGGAGCAACATCTGTATAGCCTCTTTTTCTGACACTTTATATTTCTCTGTTAACTTTTCAAAAATGTCTGTCCATGCATTATCATAAAGTTCGCTGTACTGCTCTGCGATTTTGATTGGTCGGTTAGGGTCACTCAGATCTGTGATGTTTGGGTTTTCATTGGTCAGCTTTGCTCCAGCTACTTCGCTTAATCTATATGTTAAAGAATTAACTTAATTTTGAACTGGATTATACAAAGCTACATCTTTCATTCACTCCATCAAATTAAAGTTCAACCCTTATTAAAATCCAATTTTTAAATGAGCATTCATTTTTAAGTAAATAAGGTACGTTATTTTAAAAATTTGAATTTCTAATTCAGAAAGTTTGATTTTGGAAATTACGGAGGCAGCTCAATAAAGAAAGCTTATTGGCAAACCAATTTACCAGAAATTAAATCAGAAAAAAAATTGAGAGTTTACTATTCATCCATACCGTGTCATAGCATTATTTTTCTCCGCCTGTATTCTTATTACAGTCAAACTTGTCATAGCGGTCACCTCTATCCAGCGGTCACTTGTCCTATGCGGTCATTTTATTTCCTCCCAATGGAATTTCCTATATAAAGTAATTCTATTCAGCGGTCACCTGCGTAACGCGGTCAGCGGTCACCTAATTTCAAACGAAATCGCCACTTTTTCCTGTCCTTATAGCGGCCATTTTGTCAAATCACATGACCTGATCTGGAGTCAGCTGATTCCCAATTTATGTCTGTCTGCCTACCACTCATAATTAGAAATAGAACAACTCCTCCATAAAGATAAAATAGGTCATTTATTGAATATAAATGACAATAAACAAATAAAATACACACAATAGCCTGTTGCATGAAATACACAGTATGCTCAATCAAAAAGCACGCAACTAGGCTAGCAGTCCTACTAAGAAAAATACAAGATTGCATGAACATAACCTGCATCTGCTAAATAAGTTATGTACAACATGTAAATGTATATGTTTAAGTAAAAAAGTAAAAAATACTTGGACTAGTACATTAATGGGACTAGAAAAAACAATAACATTACATAATGCCAAATATGTTATGGGGCGTTACATCGCCTAAAACATAATATTAAGAGAAGTCTAGTATATAAACATAGCTCCAGGAGGAGGGGTGGGTGGTGGCAGACTGATTCGTGCTGTTTACAAGCGGGGATTATTAATGCGCATGCGCAATTCCATCAATACTGATATTATGTAAACAGTCAAGTTAAAATTAGCATTGAACTAAGGAAGACGCATGGCAACATACATAAACCATTTATTACCATAAATTATTTTTATGTCTGTCTGCCTACCACTCATAATTAGAAATAGAACAACTCCTCCATAAAGATAAAATAGGTCATTTATTGAATATAAATGACAATAAACAAATAAAATACACACAATAGCCTGTTGCATGAAATACACAGTATGCTCAATCAAAAAGCATGCAACTAGGCTAGCAGTCCTACTAAGAAAAATACAAGATTGCATGAACATAACCTGCATCTGCTAAATAAGTTATGTACAACATGTAAATGTATATGTTTAAGTAAAAAAGTAAAAAATACTTGGACTAGTACATTAATGGGACTAGAAAAAACAATAACATTACATAATGCCAAATATGTTATGGGGCGTTACATCGCCACCTTAACAAGATAGTCAAAATTTGCTGAGTTAATGGTAGCGCAAATATTGGCTAGCTTGTTATTCCCAATTTTTGTTACTAATTGTAAATAATCAGTCAAGTGTTGCGGGATCGTGAAAAAAATTAATAAATGGACTTTATCTATTACCAATTATTTTACTGGACAAGCATATTCACGAATCATTTTACAAACTAGCTGCTTCTATATCTTACAAAACGCGAACAACTATGCTTATGACAAAAAAGTTAACAGGAAAAAACGAATACTAGATCTAGTATGATCGATAACTGATTATCAGAGTCTTATAGCTTCTGGATTTTTTATCAAGTTTTAAAAAAGAACAAAGTATAGACTATGTCTATTAATGAATATGATACTTTTGTTTACCATTTACAGTGTCGATATCGCGTCCAACTCTGCATAATCTGAGAGTTGTAAATGTATTACGTACGCTTGATATGCATTTTAATTTTCACACCTAGGAAACTTGAAGTCATAATTACAGTTTATACACACATTGTGGCTTGGGTATGTTGTGAATTTCACAAAGGAAACGACCGTTAGGGATTAGTAACGCTTCATTGCTCAGGACACCTGTGCACTTGTTGATCAACTGAGAGAACGTCTGAGAATTTATTATACAACAAATTTTGTACAATTGTCTACATGTATGTACAAAGGTTAATTTTATGAATCAAGTTTAGATAAAATAATTTTTGACTGATTTTATTCATTCCTTACACAAGAAAAAACAATTGTTTTAATGGGGATAATACAACACCCTGTAATTGTAAGATTCAATGTACAAGTATTTTATTAATTTTCTTGGATCCATTAAATTTCATTAGTTTGTATTCATCCATAAAAGTAATGCATCTCCTGAATAAAAAAAAATAATTTAAGTGTGATCACTAATGTCCAATACCTAACTTCCTTGTATATTTTGTAGTGAAATACATAATATAAACACAAAACTGACATATTAAATTTGTAATTAATTCTCTTAAAAAAGATGAACCTCTATCCAAAGGTCACCTCTCTATTTCATTGGTCAACCTCTGTTCCACATCTTCTTTGTCTCTTTTCATGCTACCATATCTTTTTTCCATTTGAGAAATTTCCGTCTCAAGTCTTCTAAGATTTTCACTTTGTTTCTGAATGGTCTCATATTGAGCCTTCTCAGTACTAAAATCATATTACTTGCATTAAAAACTGGTCTACATTTTGTATTTTATAATAAATATGTCTGCATTACTAGTATATTTTGACCCCAAACTTACCTTTTTAGTTCTTGTACTTTCTCTATGGCTTGTTTTGAAGTGACGGGGTCATCTGTTTCAGATACAGCCATTAACACTTCTTGCAGCTCATTCTGGTTTCTTCAGATAATTTTATGATAGATCATAAATACAAGTATACATGTACACGTATACTTAATTGTTTTAATATAAATGTATTGAAAAATAAATGAACAACTATTTTGCTACCTTTTGAACACCTTAAGTCTTTGCAAGGCATCATTTACTGAAGGTTCCAATATTTCTTTACCCAGTATTGTCGTTAGAATAACATTTCTCTCTTCATTAATAATTTTCCATACCCTGCAAATAATAATGGTGCTAATTCTGAAACCAGATAAAGATTTGTTTTTCAATATACATGTTTAAGTACAACCATTTTTATACTCCGATGCATTTCCGATGCATTGGCATCAAACAAAATATACGTAGAACAACCAGTTTACTTTTTCAGGTTCTCAAACATCTTCCTGGCATTCTCTGTACTACGCTGATCTTCATCAAGTTTGATTTTGAAGATAGTCCTCTTCAATTCTTCATCAAATATGATATTCTTCAATTCCAAACAGGCTTGTTCACTTCTAAAAATGTTAAAAGATTAAATATAAGACTCATAACTTTTATATAAACAAGTATGCATGTATACTATTGTCATAATTTTTTTTAAAAATATGTCATTTCATTTAACAGCCGTTCACTTTACACTCTGTTTAATATCTCATCTGTATACTGTAAACGTGATAGCTGATTTTACTTTCTATATACCACAAATCGATGTACTCTGTATGCTAATAAGCAAAATAAAAAATTATGCATACTTCTTCAAAAAGGAAAAAAAATCTATAACCTATTTATGTATTATTAAGTATTATACAATTAATATAATTCCATAGATACTTATTCATTCACACAAAGTGTATGTATAAAACGAATTAGTCTCTTTTTGAGGCAAGATACATTGCAACCAGACTAAAACTGTAGGAAGAGTAACCTTTCAAGAGAAAATTACAGGAATTTTTATCTTAGTAACCATGGCAACATCATTCATAAAATAGGATAAAAACAATTATGTTTTTAAGTGTAGTACAATTGCACGACACGTTACATTTCGTAAAATTAAGGGGCAATATCCCTCTGCTCCAAATTTCACGACTTTTTTTTTTAAAATCCAGACATTGATTTTCAGCAACAACTATAGCATTACATTCAAATGGAAAATAGTTTGAAGTATGAAGCGTTGCTTACTTTTTCAGAAATGAATAATATGTCAAATCATGATGTGAAGAAAATTTGAGATGGTAAATAGAAAGATTAATTATTTTTTATCTCACAATTAAATTAGAAATATGAGGTATATATAAAAATAAAATTTACTCTCATACCTATCTAATTCCCATTAGAAAACATACTGAAGCGCTGCTTTTTCAATCACAATTACAAATTGTTTTCTGTGCATGTAAAATAACACGCATTCATAAACAAGAGTTATCGTTCCATTATTGCCCTTGAAAATATTGTTTAATGAAACAAAATATTAATTAAATGTTTATAAACAATATTGCATCTGAAATTTCTGTACAATTAAAAGAATTATACTTTAAGAGATAGAGATTTCTCAATTTACACTGTTTAAAGGAACTGAGTATAAATGTTTTAAGTAAATTATTATAAATCATTAATGTACATACTAGCAATAGAAACTATAAATCAACATTTGTACCTTGGAATAAGTTTGATAAAGTTGACCATAAAATGGTTCCCATGAATGAAATTGGTAAACTCTGACATGACATTTCACTGAATTTCATGACAAAATGTCTGAAGAAAGTTATCTCTCTTATCAGAGGGATATTCCACCTTAAAGGAAAACTATGCAAGGAATTGCAAATTGAATTTCATATAAATTTTCATTTTAAGTAACACTGGCAACACTGATTACTGGAGTATCATAAGTGAAAGAAAACCCCTTTCACTGAATAATGTATCATTAGTCGGTGAAGTCTACTTGTGTGCTAAGTTGTATTGAAATCAAACCGAAATCAAACACAAAAACTGTAGGAGGAGTAAAGATGACCAACACCTTTCATCATAATCAAAAACCCAACCATTGAATAATGTACAGTATCTGGTTATAGTCTATTCATTTATTTAGCTAATCAAAACTGTATACGAAACAGCGTTTTAAAAAGAGTTTTAACAAAAATTTCTATTATTGTTTTACAAACAGCGTGACAGTTTGCTAGATGGGGCTTGCTAAAATTTTGTTGCCTGATTTTCATTTTACTCAGTGATTGGATGCTTTATTTCAATGGAATTAATACTAATTTGCATATGAAACTCAGAATACAACAATATCCTGAGAATACTGGCCAATTACATTGAATGATTGTTTACCAGTGCGGCATTTGTACTCACCAGCAACACGTGGTCAGTCAAAGCCCGTTCTCTGTCAAAAAAAGCATGTATTATATTTGTGATGATTTGACCGGATGGTTTTATATACGTACAAGAAAATTCAAAGAAAAGAATTAGTAAGGCTACTCTGTTGCTGTTGTACTATGCAGCTATCAATATCATCATTGTAGGTTGTAAAACTTGCTTTGTCCGTTTACGTGTAACTGTTGTTTACTGCATGCTAGTAAACATGTGATTCATTACGATTGGTCAGTATTGTCAGTGGTATTGTTGGGTTCTCTGTTTCATATGCAAAGTATTTTTGATTCCATTGAAATCAAACATCCAATCGATGAGTAAAATGATTATCAGCATAAAAATTTAACTGTCACGCTGTTTGTAAAACAATAATATTTCCATTTCTAATTTTTTCTCTATAATAACCCTGGTCGATAGGCCAGCAGCTAAGGAGGCTTAATACGCATGCAAATCTCATGCGCATCTGTCTCTGAGTCTGACGCTAAGGAGGCCAAATATGCATGTAAATCTCGTGCGGCTGCCTTTGTGTTTGACGTCAGTGTGCCAGGACTATTGAAAATGGCATGGAAGTCCTCGTGTAATTTAAATCGATTAGTCTACATTCTTAATGTCTAAGTCTACAATTTTATTTCACAATGAAATGAAAATATAAGGAATCACTGTCTAGTTTTGAGAGTATGCCAGGGACATCAACAATAGTGGGAAACATGGGATAATTTTAGCAAAACGGGCTTCGCCCGTTATGCAAATTATCCCATGTTTCCCGCTATTGTTGATGCCCTGTCATACTCTCAAAACTAGACAGTGATTCCTTAAATAATTCTAGTAACCATGGTACGGTTCATCAAAATCAAAACCCAAAAAAGAAAAAAAGGTATCTTAGCATAGTTTGCATGCGCCCCTTGTGATATTGAAGTCTGACAAAAACGATAGGAAAAGAAGCGTTTTGAAAAAAAAATGTTTACAGACAGACGGAAACCTTACTATCACACAATCTCTTTTGATCTCTGACTATCAAATCTAAAAATACACTCTTTACTTGTGTAAATCTTGTATTCTTGTGATTGTTTTTTCCAAGTCATGATCTTTCTCTTTCACTTTCTCAAAGACAGCGTTCTTGACACTTTCATGGCTGGACTCTAATTCCTTAAGTCTAATGAAGAAATACAAAGATATGAAGAAATTTTACCTAGTAAAATCACCTTTAACAATGCAGTACATATATATTATTATAACAGTAACTTGATCTGAAGGGTCGTATCACGTCGATATGACAGGCGCGGATCATCAGATCTAACGAGACGCGAAGCGTCGAGTTTGATCTGATGATCCGCGCCTGTCAACGAGACGTGATACGGCTCTTCGGATCAAGTTACTGTTATAATGATAAATTTATTATATACCCCCTTATAACTAGCTAAATATAGCAGAATAAAACTTAAGAGATCAATTGTATAATATTTATCCATAAAACAAAGCATAATAACAAGGGACTTTTTAATGCGCAAGAAAAATAACGTCATGTTTTTGCGTACTACGTCATCAGTTTCAGAGAGTGGTGATATGGATTCAGAAAACCACAGTGTGGTGATCCGGAAAATCGGATCAAACTCTGTAAAATTAACAGTAACAAAAACAAGGAAATTGATGGGTATATAATAAATATGCAAACTTAAAGCGTTTCTTTTAAAAAATACAACTCATTCATTAAAATTTTATTTAAAGTATAGATCTATATTGTCCATATGTATTTGATTGTAACCTTTAAGTTAATATTTTTAAATGATCTTGAATATTAACACCAATATCAGACACCATTCTAGAAATTGGGTAGTTATTCATTAAGAGGTAAATACTAGTAACATATTATAAATTATTGGATCATTAAAAATTAGATAGTCGTTTCAATCCCGAAAACCATGTAAGCTGATCATATTACTCATTTCAAATAAATCGTAGAATTTATATTATTCATCATTTCATTTTTTTGTTATGTCTATAGATTGTATGTCTCATACCTTTCCATTTGTTCTTTGTTTTTCTGCTCCTTAATACTTAACTCACTGAGAAAATAAACAGAACTGTTTTTACAAAAAAGTATCAAATTCATTTACAGTAATCTAGTCTATCTCTTTTACGTTAAAGGTGAATATTAATATAAAGTGATACGTTTCTAAGTTTTTAGTTGGTATAATTCAGCACAAGTTTTCATTTTAAAAATAAAATCCTTTCTTTGATTGCTAATAAAAAACATATAGAGATAAAGAACAGTAATCAAGCTCAAAAGTCCATAAAACAAAACAAATCAAAGAAAATCAGAAGCAGAGCAAAAACGGACATTTAAACATCAGAGGTGGGATCAGGTACCAAGGAGGAGTAACAAATCCCGCCGACCGGTCACACCCGCTGTGGGGTCCTTGTCATAATTGGGAAATATCGGGAAAAGCCTCGGCTTTTATCTTTCAAACAACATTTCTCTACCCCGGAGGTTATCCTACGACATTCAAAAAAACATGAACTTTGTTTCTTAAGTATATACTATGCTTGTGGGAACTGATTTTGCTTTCTATATTATATACTACAAATAGATAAACCTTGTTTGCCAAAAAGCAATATAAAGAATTATGCAAACTTTTTCAAAAAGTCTTGAAAAAAAAATATCTATAAACTATGTTTCTCAGTGTAGTGCATTTACATGACACGTTACATTAAAATTAAAACAAAACTTTAAAATAAGGAATATTTTAAAATTCACAAAATTTTTCATTTTTTAGTAAAGATGGCAACACTGATTATCAAAAATGAATGAAAAACCCATTCACTGACAAATGTACCTTTAGTTGGTCTAGTCTATTTGCGTGTCAAGTTATTATAGTGAAATCAAACCGAAGTCAAACCAAACACAAAAAATGTTTGAGGAGAAGAGTTTTAGTTAACATGACCAACAACTTGCATCAAAATCAAAACCCATCCATTGAATAATGTATCTGGATGTAGTCTAGTCGTATTTTCCGTAAGAAAACTGTATGCGAAATAGCGTAAATAAAAGAATTTTAACCTAAATTCATATTTTCAGTAATCATAGTGCGATTCATCAAACAATTAACAGATTTAGGCTTTAGTCTACTTTCGTCCCGTGTTATATTGATGTCAGACCAAAACTGTAGGAAAAGTAGTATTTTGAGAAAAAAAAATGTTTACAGACATACAGACGGAAACCTTACTATCACATAATCTCCTACCAGAAGAGCTATAATACGCTCTTTACTTATGTAAATCTTGTATTCTTGTGATTGTTTTTTCCAAGTCGTGATCTTTCTCTTTCACTTTCGGGACTCCAAAGACTACTTTCTTGACACTTTCAAGGTTGGACTCTGATTCCTTAAGACTACAGAAGAAATAAATAGATATTCAGAACTTTTAACGTAGCAAAATCCCCTTTAACACTGCACAGCACATATGCAAAGTATTTCTTTTAGAAAAAATAACTCAGCCATTAAAATTGTATTTATAGTATATATTGTCCATATTTATTTGATTTTTAACCTTAATATTTTTAAATGATCTTGAATATTAAAACCAATATCAGACATCATTCTAGAAATTGGGTAGTTATTCATAAGGAGGTAAATACTAGTAACATATTATAAATTATTAAATTATTTAAAATTAGAAAGTTGTTTCAATCACGAATACCTTGTACGCTGATCATAATACTCATTACAAATTAATCGTAGAATTTATATTCATTATCATTTCGTTTCCTTTTATTTGTCTTCTGTTGTGTGCATCTTACCTTTCCATTTGTTCTTTGCTTTTCTGCTCCTTAATATTTAACTCCCTGAGAAAATAAACAGAATTAATTTTACAATACATTTCTAATTCAATTAGAGTATTATAGTATACTTCTATTAATTTAAAGGTGAATATTGATATAAAGTACAATTTTCCATGTTTCTAGTTGGTATAATCCAGCAAGAGTTTTCATTTTTAAAAATAAAATCCTTATTTGATTTTTAATATAAAACATATTGAGATAGCGAAAAGTATTCAAGCTCAAAAGTCCATAAAACAATACAAAGTAGGAGCAGAACAAACACGGACTTTTAAACATCAGAGGTGGGACCAGGTTCAATGGAGGAGTGACCATCCCCTGCCGACCGGTCACACCCACCATGTGCTCCTTGTCATAAATGGAAAATAACGGGAAAATCCCTTGGCTAAAGCATTGGCTTTTATCTTTCAAACAACATTTCTCGACCCCGGAGGTTATCCTGCGACATTCATGAAAATGCGGACTTTATTTCTTTAGTACATTGTATATACTATTGTCATAATTTTATTTATAAAAATCATTTTTACAGCCGTACACTTTACATTCTTTGCCATTCTCTTTTTGCCTGCTTTAGTTATGATAACTGTTTTTTGCTTTCTATATACCACAAATCGATGAACTCTTCTAAAAAGCAAAATTAGATGTTAGATCCGCTCGCATACTTACTACACTAACTTACTTAGTGTAGCAAGTATGCGAGCGGATCTAACATCTAATTTTAATTAGATTTTCTTTGGCCTTGTCTCTTTTTGTGGCAAGATTCGTTGCCATCAGACTAAAACTGTACGAAGAGCAACTTTAAAGAATAAAATTACAGAAATTTTGATTTTAGTTACCATGGCAACATCATGTATTAAAATTGGATAAACAAAATTATTTTTGTCAGTGTAGTACATTTGCACGACATTTTATGTGGAAATTTAAAGCAAAACTAAAAAAGGGATAGCATTTTGAATTTCACATAAATTTTCATTTTTAGTAACGTTGGCAACACTGATTATTAAAACTCAATGAAAAACACAAAAAAAATGTTGGAGGAGAAGAGTTTTAGTTAACATGACCAACAACTTTCATCAAAATAAAAAAAAACCATCCATTGAATAATGCATCTGGATGTAGTCTAGTCGTTTTTTTCATGAGAAAACTGTATGCGAAATAGCGTAAATAAAAGAATTTTAACCTAAATTCATATTTTCAGTAATCATAGTGCGATTCATCAAAACACAATAAGCAGATTTATTTTTGTAAACAGTTAAACTGTAATCAGAATTGTAAAAAAAAAAGTATCTTTCTGAAAGAATTTTCAGAAAATGTCTTTATAAACATAGGTAATCAAAGATTACGAAGCTCACCTCGACGAATGTTATCAGTTTACGTAATGCAAATCTCACATAATATTTTCCTAATATTTAGTATTCATCCCAACAACAATATTCTTGCAAGTTGTGTTTAACCCTTTAGATGGCATAAACACATTTCTATGCATGTAGTGTGAAAAACATGTATATTGTTAACAAATATTCATAACTGTTAATACTGCAGATATCAAGGACTTCAAGTTCATTCCCACTGATCTGTTCCCAAAACTTTAACCTGGTCTCTTGAAAATAAAGGTCAGATCCAGCATCCAAAGCAAGTCTGGTAGTGTCCATCCTTACATGTAGGTGCATCATCCATGCAAGTTTGGTTTAGCTAGGGCTTACAGTTACTTGGGAATGAAAATGTAGGTCAGATCCAGCATCCGAAGCAAGTCTGGTAGTGTCCATCCCTAGATACATCATCAATGCAAGTTTGGTTCAGGTAGAGGCTTATAGTTACTTGGGAATGAAAATGTACATTAGATCCAGCATCCGTAGCAAGTCTGGTAGTGTCCATCCTTAGATGCATCATCCTTGCAAGTTTGGTCCAAATAGGGCTTATAGTTACTTGGGAATGAAAATGTAGGTCAGATCCAGCATCCAGAGCTAGTCTTTTAGTGTACATCCCTAGATACATCATCCATGCAAGTTTGGTTCAGGTAGGGCTTATAGTTACTTGGGAATGAAAATGTAGGTCAGATCCAGAATCCGAAGCAAGTCTGGTAGTGTCCATCCCTAGATGCATCATCCATGCAAGTTTGGTCCAAATAGGGCTTTTAGTTCCTGTGGAATTGACCTTCTCCAAAAACTTTAACCTGGTCACTCATCTGGAAAATGTAGGTCAGATCCAGCATCCGAAGCAAGTTTCGTAGTGTCCCTTCCTAGATGCATCATCCATGCAAGTTTGGTCCAGGTAGGGCTTATAGTTCCTTGGGAATAGACCTGCTCCAAAAACTTTAACCTGGTCACTCATCTGGAAAATTTAGGTCAGATCCAGCATCCGAAGCAAGTCTTGTAGTGTACATCTCTAGATGCATCATCCATGCAAATTTGGTCCTGGTAGGGCTTATACATGTTACTTGGGAATGGACCTGCTCCAAAAACTTTAACCTGGTCACTCATCTAGAAAATGTAGGTCAGATCCAGCATCCGAAGCAAGTCTGGTAGTGTACATCCCTAGATGCATCATCCATGCAAGTTTGGTTCAGGTAGGGCTTATAGTTCCTAGGGAATGGACCTGCTCCAAAAACTTTAACCTGCTCCAAAAACTTTAACCTGGTCACTCATCTAGAAAATGTAGGTCAGATCCAGCATCCGAAGCAAGTCTGGTAGTGTACATCCCTAGATGCATCATCCATGCAAGTTTGGTTCAGGTAGGGCTTATAGTTACTTGGGAATGGACTTGCTCCTAAAACTTTAACCTGCTAACGCCGACGCCGACGCCGACGGTATAGCATAAGCTCATCTCGACTTCGTCGAGGTGAGCTAAAAATGAAATTTCTATTGCTAGTAACCATGTTTACGTCGTCCATCAAAATGTGCGATATGTAATGAAATATATGGAGATAACGAACAGTATTCAAGTTCAAATCACCGTAAAACAATGGGAAACAGGAGCAGAGCAAACATAACCTCCAAATCATTAAAGATGGGATAAGGTGGCACTGAAGAAAGAACACCCCTCTAAAAATCTATTGCCCACAGTGGCTACATCCTACTCCAAGGTTTATTCAATTGAATCTAAACAATTTAATGATGTTTTGAACACATACGATATCCATCATTAAGATATTCTAAAAAGATTTTCCTACCGAAATATACCCATTGAAAACTTTGAATGCCCAGAGTGGCCACACTTTACTCCCAGGGTCATGATTAAACAAGAGGCCCAAGGGCCACAGCGCTCACCTGAGCACATCAGGCTTGAATTTACTCCCCCCCACCCCCCTCTACAGGCGTTCATCATTTGAACAAACTAGAATCTACACTACCTGAGGATGATTCCATATAAATATCACTAATCATAGCTTTGAAGTACTTGAAAAGAAGATTTTAAAAGGTTTCCCTATATATCCCTATGTAAAACTTGGGTCGGCCATTTTGGCCCCACCTTAGCCCCGGGGGTCATAATTTAAACAAACTTGAATCTACACTACCTGAGGATGATTCCACATGAGTTTCATCTTTCCTGGCCCAGTGGTTCTGGTGAAGGATTTTTAAAGATATTTCCTATATATTCCTATGTAAAACTTGAGTCGGCCATTTTGGCCCCATCCTTGCCCCGGGGGGTATGATTTGAACAAACTTGAATCTACACTACCTGAGGATGATTCCACATGAGTTTCATCTTTCCTGGCCCAGTGGTTCTGGAGAAGAAAATTTTTAAAGATTTTTCTTATATATTCCTATGTAAAACTTGGGTCGGCCATTTTGGCCCCACCCTTGCCCCGGGGATCATGATTTGAACAAATGAGAATATACACTACCCAACGATGCTTGCACATAAGTTTCAGATTTTGTCGCCCAGTGGTTCTTAAGAAAAAGATTTTTAAAGATATTTCCTATGTATTTCTATGTAAAACTTGGGTCGGCCATTTTGGCCCCATCCTTGCCCTGGGGGTCATAATTTGAACAAACTTGAATCTACACCACCTGAGGATGATTCCACATGAGTTTCATCTTTCCTGGCCCAGTGGTTCTGGAGAAGAAGATTTTTAAAGATTTTTCTTATATATTCCTATGTAAAAATTGGGTCGGCCATTTTGGCCCCATCCTTGCCCTGGGGGTCATAATTTGAACAAACTTGAATCTACACCACCTGAGGATGATTCCACATGAGTTTCATCTTTCCTGGCCCAGTGGTTCTGGAGAAGAAGATTTTTAAAGATTTTTCTTATATATTCCTATGTAAAAATTGGGTCGGCCATTATGGCCCCATCCTTGCCCTGGGGGTCATGATTTGAAAAAATTTGAATCTACACTACCTGAGGATGATTCCACATGAGTTTCATATTTCCTGGCCCAGTGGTTCTGGAGAAGCAGATTTTTAAAGATTTTTCTTATATATTCCTATGTACAACTTGGGTCGACCATTTTGGCCCCACCCTTGCCCCAGGGATCATGATTTGAACAAATTTGAATCTACACTACCTGAGGATGATTCCACATGAGTTTCATCTTTCCTGGCCTAGTGGTTCTGGAGAAGAAGCTTTTTAAAGATTTTTCCTATATATTCCTATGTAAAAATTGGGTCGGCCATTATGGCCCCATCCTTGCCCCGGGGGTCATGATTTGAACAAACTTGAATCTACACTACCTGAGGATGATTCCACATGAGTTTCATC